GATGACTGGCTCTGTGGATGCAGGGAGACCAGCGGATGTGGTATACCTTGATTTTAGCAAAGCTTTTGATACGGTCTCCTACACCATTCTTTCAGGCAAGCTACGGAAGCATGGGTTGGATGAATGAACTGTAAGATGGATATACAACTGTTGGGTGCACTGGACTCAGAGGGTAATAATTAATGGCTCAATGTCTAGTTGGCAACTGGTATCAAGTGGAGTGCCCCAGGAGTTGTCGGTCCTGGGGCTGGTTTTGTTCAATGTCTTCATCAATGACCTGAAAGATGGCATAGAGTGCACCTCAGCAAGTCTGCAGATGACACCAAGCTGTGGGGAGAAGCAGATATGCTGGAGGGTAGGGCTAGAAGTCAGTGACCTTGACAAATTGGAGGGTTGAGTCAAAAAAAAATCTTGTGAGGTTCGACAAGGACAAGTGCAAAGTCCTGCACTTAGGACAGAACAATCCTATGCACCAGGACAGACTGGGGGCTGACTGGCTGGGCAGCAGCTCTGCAGAAAAGGACTTGGGGCTTACAGTGGACAATAAGCTGAATATGAGCCAGCAGTGTGCCCTAGTTGCGAAGGCAGCTAATGGCATACTGGGCTGCATTGGTAGATGTGCTGCCAACAGGTCAAGTGAAGTGATTATTCCCCTCTATTCAGCACTGGTGAGGCCAAATCTGGAGTACTGTGTTCAGTTCTGGCCTCCCACTACAGAAATGATGTGGACAAATTGGAGAGAGTCCAGCAGAGGGCAACAAAAATGGTGAGGGGGCTGCAGGACATGACTTCTGAAGAGAGGCTGAAGGAACCAGGCTTATTTAGTCTACAGAAGAGAAGACAGAGGGGATTTAATAGTAGCCTTCAACTACCCGAAGGGTGGTTCCACAGACAATGGAGCTGGATTGTTGTCAGTGGTGGCAGATGACAGGACAAGGAGCAATGGGCTCAGGTTGCAGCAAGGGAAGTTTAGGTTAGATATTAGGAAGAATTAGGAGAGTAGTAAAACTGGAACAAGGTTACCCAGAGATGTGGTAGAACCTCCGTCCTTGGAGGGTTTTAAGACCCAGCTACACAAAGCTTTGGCTGGGATCATCTAGTTGGGGATGGTCCTATTTGAGCAGGGGGTTGGACTACATGACTTCCTGAGGTCCTTTCCAACCCTCATTTTCCATGATTCTATAAGCAATGAATCCATCCCATTAACACCCCAACCTGCAACGTTTTCATCCAAATGTTTGCTGTATCCACCCTGTTATTAAGTAGAATTTTTCCTCACATAATCTACTATTTTTGCACATTAAAAATGAATCTGGTTCTTGTAAAACCTTTTTAATGAATCAGGATTTTTAAAAACAATCTTTTAAAGAATCTGCTCTGAAACATATGCAGCAATAGGCATTAGCAACAGAAGACACCAGCTACAGATGTAGTGATGCTTTATTCAAATTTGCCATGCTACAAAGAGAGGATTTGACATCCCAGACCACCATGACTCAAGCTAGAATGGTTGATGTCATATTTTGGTGACACACTTCACAGTTATTTCAGAGTAAGATCATCAGGTTTCTCGTTTCTTGGCAGACAGGTCTGACTTTACAGCTTGTGCAGTGCCTGGCACATCAACAGCACTTAATAAGGAACAACAAGAAGTCCAGATAAAACATGGACCTCTTATTTAACATGACACTGCAGCTGTGTTATAAATAGCTTCCTGTTTGCTTGCTTCAGAAGAACAGTTCTAGCCAGAAAGAGGTCAGAGGGTTTTGCCAGAGGGAAATAATTAAATATCGCTATTTTCTGGAAGCCAAGCCTCCCGGTCATGGCAGCACTGGAAGAGGAAGCAAAAGTCACTGAAGGTGAAGGATATTTAACTAGTCCATCCAAACAAATCGAATAGGATTTCATTCATTTTCTTGAGGCTCAGAAGGAAACAGTGCTCCCTTACAGTAAGTACAATCTTACTGACCATATCTCCATTGGCAGTTCTCAGAGGTTAGAAACAAAAAGCATGCTCTAGCCCACCCCTGTGACTGTGCACGATTAAGTCACTGCTGAGTTCATGTTGTATATACTTGATATCACTAGTAAATATACTTTTACTTCAAGCCATTTATTGCAATGATGCATTCAATTACCATGTGGTTTAAACCAATGAGTTTTGCCCACAACAGATCATTAGGGCTACTCTATTCTGCTTTTAGTTAAATAGGACAGGAATTTACTTTCAGATCTTTGACTGGGTTACAGAATTTACTTATTGTTACAAACCCTTATTTAAGCCCTGAAATACCCTTGTATCTATTAAAGTTCAATGGTTGGTGCTTTCAAGTTTTTTTAATCCTGCTTTAAAAGAAAATAATTAACTGAAAAGCTGGTTCAGTTACAGACCTGAAATGCAAGACTGTCAGGCCTGTTCATGGTCAGAGGGAAAGCAGAGCTAGGAATGTATATACAACTTGAAAGCAAGATTTCTATGAATTAGTACATCAAGGTGACCCAAGCATATTTAAATACAGTTCAATTTGCTGCTTTCAAAATGCTTCCTTTCATGCCTTCAGCTCACTGGTAAGTGAAATCTATGTAAATGGCAATACTTTAGGAATAGTGGAAGGCAGTAAGCAAGGTCATACAACCAAGTCAAACAGCTGCTGAACATGCAGATGGTCTACAAATATTTCCTCTCTTCTGTTCGCCAGAATGTCACCAAACTTGCCCTTGCATGGCACATAGCCCATTCACTGTGTACCTTCTACCACACCTTGCTGGCTGTGCCTGATCCATCCCAGGATGTTCCAAACTATGGTGCTGGGGGGACAGGTTCTGCAGTCTTACACAGAATTAAAGAAAATTTATAGTAAGATTTTTTTTAATGGGCGATTTAAGTCTTAAATAACTGGAATTAAAATAAAGATTAAAGCAATGTTTCCTTTGTAGCTCTTGTGATAGCCTTCTTCACACATTCATACTAGTCTCCCTGTCTCCAGAAATACCACACACTTCATATCGTTCCTTCAGCATGAATATATGATATACAGCATGCTTTAAAAGTTTTATTTTATGTCATAGGGTGGCTGGTTCTCTAAGGGGAGTCAGGCACACCTGTGTCTAATCATACATCTCCCAGCTGAGGTTGCAAGACCAGGGATCAGGTAATTGCCACATCAATGAGAACTAGGTGATCACACAATGAGGCTCAACTGAGCCAGATAGCTGCAGGCATCAGAAAGTCCCTACAGGAGACTGTGGATCAGGAAGAGAGCAAGTGTGTGAGAGAGTCAGGTGGAGGGCCTAACGAGTATAATCTTGCCCTTGCTGGGCAGAACAGATGTGAGGTTTGCCATGACTCCCCAACAGATGGCCTCTGAGACTTAAGTCTTGGGAGAAGACCCTGGGTCTTGATGAAGCATACTACTAACACGCTGAGCCTATTATTTTAAAGAAATGAAACAAACTGTGAAGAACCAGGACAGGAACTGCAGGGCCGGAGGATGCTTCCAGAGCAGCAAACCAGCTCACCAGGTCACATGTTATTTTTGCAAAACATGTTTCTCAACTAACTCTGAACTTTCAGGTTGAACGTCAGAGTGGTGCATGGGGACAGAGCAGAGCTTGTGTGTAGGGGTCTACTCAACTTGGAGGCAGCCAGCCAATTTCATGGGGACATCATGGGCCAGCTGCCATATTCACAGGTTGATCATGACAAGGTCCCTCATGCTTCTGATTGCCTGAGGGGCCTGTGTCCCCACCCCTCACCACTGATTGGTGGGAGGGCCAAAGCCATATGACAAGCAGCCCTCAGCCAATCAGTGGTGAGGGGCGGGGCAGCATCCAGCTTGGGCTGCCCTTCCTGTGGGCAGGCCCCTTTCCTCCCTTCCCTGCCAGCTGGCTGTACAGCTGGGCTGCAGTGCCACGTGGACTGTGGACTCCCTCTGGGCAGCCAGTGTTTTAAGTTCTCCCTTTTTTTTGTGGATTTCGTGATTTCCACAAAAGTAGGTACCCACTGAAATTTGATTTATGTGGTGCAAAGGACTATGGGGCATCAAGCAGAATTTATTTGTTGGTCCCATTAAGGCTGAAGTAGGAGACAGCAATACAAAAGGCAGAAGTGACTGTTACTGAATCTGCCTTAGCCAGTCTTGCAATGAGTGCAAGCAGCACAGAGGTGCTGCAGCTACCATTCCAGCCTCGGGGCAAAAGATCTCCCCTGCAACTTGCATCATGACAGAGGTAAATTTTGCTTTCTGAACGGGAACAATTTCCACTAATTAGTTCAATCTGGCAGCCTGAATCTTAGAAAACCTGAAGGAACGTCAAACTACAATACAGCATTAAACCAGAAAGCACCTGCACTGCACCAATGCTACAGGAGAAAGCATTAAGGCAGATAAAAGCTTGAAAAAAAAATCATGAGATAGGCTTTCCCCAGTAGGAAAGCTAGGTTATAGAGCATGCAATATTTTAAAATAAGTTTAGGGTCTTTATTTGCTTTCTAAAAGCCTTTTGGGTGATTTCCAAGCCTTTTCTCCAAAACCACGAGGACTAGAAACTCAGGGGTTAATGCACTAAAGCTGAGATTCTGAAGTAGTAACATGAGTTCTATGGCTGAAAGCTTTAAGGGAAAAAATATTTCAAGTATCCTAGCAGCTGGTAACACTGATCTTCACACACCCACATTAAGGATTAATATTTTCCAGCTACCATCTGGAATGCTGTTTGTATTTAGGCATTTTAGACAAAAAGGGAGGTAAAATAATGTCTCTCTTGGTGTCTTCAACATTCTTACATTAAAAAAATATAGCAATGATCAGTGGCTAGCTATAATGACCCAGAAGCAAGTAAAGAAAAATTACTCCGTCAAAATGCCACCATTCAAAGGTATTAATATTTAGTTTCTCTGAGTTTCTATTAGCATACCAAAATAAAATAATCTTATTCTAGCAGCATTAAGAGAAAACCTTAAAAAGCCAATTGTATTACATTTCAACGTATGCACTTACAAATTCATAGTCTCCATCCTGTGGTACTTTCCAGTCAGATGAATTTTTTGTCTGGCCAGACACATTCTTCCCAAAACTATTGATCTGATTCTCTTTTTCTTTTTGTTCAAAATATTCCAGGAACGATGGTTTGGCTGGCTGCATGGTCTCTTCCCTCCCTGGGAATATTTAAAAAGTGGTAAAACAATGGTCACTTTTGCAAAAATTAAAACAGCGTGTTTTATATTCCACTTAATAACTGTGCCAAACTATTAGATTGCTAACAATGATACCTAGTGCTCATAAAACACTGTATGGAAGGTTCTGAAAGCTAAACCTCATACCACCTAAGAGAAGGAAGTAGTATCCCTGTCTGTAAAGTGGGACATAGAGGCCAAGAGACCACAAAGAAGCACGATATCCAACCTTGGAATAAAACTCCAAAACATCTGGCTTCTAGACCAGAAGCGGCCAGCCTGCTGTATGCATGCTACAAAGTGGTACGGGCAGCCTCTGTGTGGCAGGTAGCAGGGTGGGGAAGGTACAGGCATCACGGTGGCAGACAGGGCAGAAAGCAGACTACCAGAGCAAGCAGGGAGAAGAAAGCAGAACAGCAGATTAGGCAGAGAAAGGGGGATTGGGAGGGCACTCAGGGAGGTCATGGGACTAATTTGTGGCACACCTACCAAAAAAGGTTGGACCCCAGTGGATTAAACCAGACTAACCTTCCCCCCCCCACGATTTTGGGAATGGTGCACAAGTCCTCGTTGCATTTTTATAAGAACTGCCCAAACTAGAAGGAAAAAAGAAATGTTTTCAGTTGAGCAAAATAATTCCTTCGACCTGAACTGTTATCTCCTCAATTAACCAGTAGTTAAACCAGTAGTTAAAATACTGATGTTGGATCAATCAGAAATTATTGCCTTTCCTCTTTGGCCACCAAAGAGACTAATCAGTTATTCAGAGAACCCAACCAAGGAATTCCTCATTTCCTTGTTCCCAGTCCATTTGTATTTCAGAAAGAAAAGCACTCAACACATGTAGTTGAACAGGGCATCTGACTCGGTATGACACCATTATATACTCTTTGGAGTACATTAATAAGAAGCTGAATGACAGGGGAGGCAGACAGGACACTGCATCTATGAAAGACGTGTGCAGATACATTTCGGTTTCACATGTATGACTGGCTGAGCTGCTGAGTCAGGTTGGGGTAGAAATAGGAAAACTAACATGCCTTGCTTTCCTGCAAGAATACGTGTGAATAGTTGTTCCATGCTACTTGTACATGGCTGCACATGTACTCACCCACATCCATGCCTCTGCTCAATTTTGGTCACCATGGGAAATGTGCAACCATAAGTTCAGGTATAAAGATAAGGCACCAATGCTGTTTAAAGCTTAAAAGACAGCTTCCAATAAGCCAAATCTGTCTTACCTGGAGGTGGTCAACCTGCAGCATGGGTGCCACAAGTGGCACAGGCAGCCTGTGTAGCATGTAGCACACTGAAGAGGGGACAAGCAGTACAGTGGCAGATAAGTCAGGGGTCAGAAAGCAGAACAGCAGATCAGGCAGGGGAAAAGGATCTGAGTGGCTTGCAGGAAGTGTGCAGGATTAATTTATGGCATGCCTGTCAAAAAGGTTGGCATGCACTGAGCTGGAGGATCTTTATGGTACAGGATGCAATTTTGCATAGTGGTTGGGGGAGAAGAGATCAGAAATGAATATAATTTAGTATCAATGCACCTCAGGAAAAAAATTTCTGTTATCGGCATAACTGTTTTTTTCAGTTTGTCGAGAATTCCCGCTGAAAAGATGCAACTGCGTGTCACATTTAAGGTTCGTAGCAACTGGTACAGTTTCAGTTGCTGTCTAAAATGTATTTAAAATTAATATGTAGCAGAACAAGCTAGTTTTAATGCATACAATACTTTGGATAGAGTCTCAGCATGACAGAAAATAGGCTTGCGTGGAAGACATGCTGTTGAGCAAGTTGCATCTTAAGATAACATAAGCTGAAAAATGTAATTAAAGATTACTCATATGAGAGAACAGTACTGCATTTAGGGATGACAAACCATCATATACAATTTGTGCACATGAGTTTGTTCTACAATAGCAAATCAACATCACCTATTTTTAAATACCTTGATCTTGAAAAAGATGGTCTTGCATTATGACAAAGCACAGTTCTCTACACAATGCAATAAATTTTTCATCTTTAAACATTCGTTATAGTTTATATAAAAGCCATAATTCCTAAGTGCCTGAAAAAGTCAGCAACTCATAATGAGCTCATTATTCTTGGTCAAGTGTTAATATAAAACAGTTTTAAATTAGCCAAATGGAAACCTGCTTTGGACTATCTCAAGAGTCACTCTAAACAACTGTCAAAAGAAAAAACAAAACAAAACATCAGGCTTGAAAAAACCCCATCAAATCCAGCAGTTACTCTAGTGATTTGCCAGATCTCCATAAGGCAATTTCTGGCAAACAGTTTCACATCCAAGATACAGGCAGAAATCAGACTGTCAAATGTTAAGTTTTCCCAAAGATCATAAAATGTTCAGTAGTGCCCATGTTTCTGAGTGGGGGGGGAAATGGTTACCTTGGAAATCTATTAAGGTTTTGTCACAGAATATTATTCTTTAAAACAAAACTGACATGTTACAACATTTCTTTTCCAGATTTTATCCTATTATAAGATTATTCTTTGAATTCCTGTGTTAACTTTGTATATATTTTAAGAGAGCACTGTTTTGTTTTTGTTTTTTTATAGAGTGCTAAATATAAGCTTCTATAAAGCAGAGATATTTTAGCATGATCCTAAGCCTCAGATACTAAAAGAAGTGTGGCTGTCTGCAATCTGAAAATGTCATTAGAAATCTTGAAGCAGCACAGACACAAGTCTTTTCTAGGCTAGCAGAGAGTTTAAAAATGAAAATAGGCACTTACATTTCTGCATTATGACAATGACAAAAGTTCGGACAAATTATCCTACCCCTCCTGGCAGTCATTTCCCTTTTTAAAAACCTCACTGTACAGAATTAGATCAAGGGAGATGTCTTCAGACAGAATGCACGAAGGTCAGTCTGGAACTGTGTTCACAAAGCTGAGAACTGCAATACTATTAGGAATAATTACTGATATACAATAGGAATCCAATCACTATTATAATAATAAAATGTTTATTTTTATTCTATGTAAATGTTGCTTGCATTCTTCTGAACGTACGCATGCTGTTAGAAGCATGAGAAATGAATATTATTGACAATGAATAATAGAAATGTTTCATGCAGGGAATTTTGTAGAACAGGCAAGAATGCAAATCTGTACCCAACAGATTAAGTAGTAGCCCAGGTCTCAGTTATAAATTAGGTTTAAAAAAACAAATTCAGGTTAACGTTGGATAGCTTGCAAACACACTCATTTTTAATGTTCCTTTAGAAAGAGAGAGGGAAAGACAGGGAGAACTACTTGAGTTTCATCACCTTATCCACTTACTAAAGTAATTTTGTTAATGAATATCTGCTTGTGCTCTGGGAAAAAAAAACAAAAACAAAAAAAACCCCACACAATCCAGAAAGTCTCTTAAGCATTTCATTCCTCCCCAACAGTTTCAATTCTATTTTATCAACTAATTGGTGCTTCAGAAACAACCATAGCTGTAGGCTGGTCCTGCATTTACAGCATGGGACAATTCAGGCAATAAAATGCTTTTTAGTGGCTTCAGGATATCAAAAAGGGTTTAATAAAGATTTAATAAAATGAAAATTCTTTCTGCATATATGGTTACAAATAAAAAGCAAACAAGTACATTTCTAGGTTGGTTTTTGGAAAGTTTACAATAGTTGAAAGAAATCACATCTCTCTCATATCCATATTATGTCTAGCATTGGAACTTTGAAATCATTTTGGCCCTTGAGGGATGCAATTATTTTTATTTTATAATATCCACCAATTGGCAAAGCACAATCTAATGATGAAGTGGTTTACTGAAACAACTTGTTAAGAATGATTAAGTATAGATTTATTAACTTCCAACTCTGGGACTTCTGAAATGTTAATTGCTACTATAACTTCAGTCAAGCTACTTATTTATCAGGACTGATAGAAATGCTCTTTGAGAATGAAAGACAATACACCAAAAAAATCAATCACTGCCTGTCTGGTAGTACCAAATAGATGCCTTATATCTGTAATCTTGACTTTTGCATCAGTGCAAACTGAAAAAGGTGACCTTGCTATTAAACTTGTTTTTTTGTATTGAATTTAAGTACCTTCAAAATTTTGACTGACAACAGCCAAAGAAGAAACCATACAATAACTTTATCATCTGATCTTGTAAAGGAACAGTGTCTGTGGCTGCTGCTCGTAGATGACACCAGGCTAGATGGGTCTAAGACAGCTTATGCCAAGTATCTTATGTTTTCCAGTTTTACAGAATTGCATTAAAATATTAATGCTTGCCAGGAAGCAAGTGCATGTGGCTGTAGAGAATGATTTCTACTGGAAGGTTATACCTTGGGTGTTACACACAGACAGGAATGATTTCCATATTTAGAAACTTTGAAAGAGAGATGCTTATGGAAATGAACCTGGACAGCTCCTCTGGAGCCATTAATGTTCCAGTCATTTAAATATGTCATCTTTTTTAAAGGACTATATTAATTACAAATGGAACGCCATTGCGATGGAACCATTCCAGCTTACTGGAAATTATATATTGAAAGGTATTCACAAAGCACCCCATGTGCTCACAGCACTTCGTTCATTCGGCACTTCTATTACCAAAAATAACTTATAAAAAAAGCTGTGAAAATAGGAGTTTCCATATGTTGATTGGTATAAATTGTCAGGAAAAAATAAAATGCAAGTAACTGAATACAAATTTTGTGATGTAAGCATAAGGCAGAGAAGAGAAGTGTGTAGTAGCTCTCTGGGTTGTACAATACAAATAATACTAAAAGGGTCTTAACATAGGCCAAAACTTCAGTGAGGCGGTCCTTTCCTAAAGTCTGTACAATCTAAGCATTTGACAAGAGACAGATGGATACAGAAGGGAGTCCAAAGTGACACACAATACTGTTCAGGACAAGGAGCAGTGGTATCAGCACACAAGAAGTCGAACCATGAGCAATTTATTATAGGAGTCACAGCATAGGTGAGTTTCAAAGA